TTAATTCTTTTTGTAACATCATCTTTAAAAATCTTTTTTGTATAATTGTGAGAGGTTCAATGTGACTACTAACCGCTGAACCCCAAGATAGTACAGCGTAATTTATATGACTCTGTATTAAAGCATGATAGACCATTTTTAGATATTGTCTAGACAACAACCTACAGAGGTACTTAAAGGTATATAAAATGGACTGAAGCTTCTTTATAACATAATTTATATGTATATCCCATCTCAAATGACAATCTATAAAAACACCTAAATATTTTGTTTTTATTGCAGGTAAGATTCTAATTGTATGACCCTGGCTTTCTAATTTCAGATAATTAAAAGATGGGGAAACTGACTTATTGCATGTAAAAGGCAAGTAGCTCGTCTTTTCCAGGTTAATTGTCAATAGTTTGTAACTGAACCAATCTTTTACATAAGACAATTCACTTTCCACAGTTTCTTTCAGTTCATCCCAAGTGTTACCTTTATGGAAAATAGCTGTATCGTCTGCAAAGCCTATAACCTCTCCACTGGTAAGTAGGCCAAATAAATCATTAATATATATTAAAAATAACAGGGGCCCTAAAACCGTGCCTTGCGGAACACCATATTCGACAGGTAACCATCCACTGCACTCACCTCCAACCCTTACACACTGTTTTCTATTTGACAAATAACTCTCTAAGAGTTTATGACATTGACCTCTAATTCCTATATTTTCAAGCGATTCTAGAAGCATAGGATGACTAACAGTGTCAAAGGCTTTGGTAAGGTCAATGAAAGTGCACAAGCAAGGCTGGCCTTTATCTAGAGCAGAGGAGACACTATTTGTGAGCGTTATGATAGCATCTTGGGTGGACGTATGTTCCTTAAAACCATATTGTTTTTGTGAAAGTAACATATATTTATTTTAAAAAGATGTAATTCTTATTTCAATAATTTTTTCAAATATTTTACAGATAATTGTTATTAAAGAAATGGGCCTATAGTTAGTTGATAACGCACTATTTCCTTTTTTTTAAAATAGGTGTAACCACAGCTTTTAAATGCAGATGGCCAAGTACCAGTTTTCATGCACTCATTTATAATGTAATCGGCTCAGTCACAAACTCCACAATATGTTTAATTCCAGAAGAATTTTTATTTTTTAAATTTGGTATAATGTCTTTGACTTCTTGGTGATCTGTGGGCAGTAAAACTAGCGAATTTAGTGAATCAGTACCTCTAAAAGCAACTCTCTCTATTGGGTATTATTTTATGTGCCAATTTTTTCCCTATATTGGAAAAGGTTTTGATGAATTCCTCAGCCATATCTATGTTATCAGTTAATTCAACATTATTCTCATTTATCAAGTGACGGTAAATTGGTTTTTTTGAGCTAGACTTTGTTATGTTTTGAACTATTTTCCATAGATTTTTGGAATTGTTTTTGTTTTTGCTTATCAATTCATTATAATATTTTTCCTTTGCTTTTCNATGTTATCAGTTAATTCAACATTATTCTCATTTATCAAGTGACGGTAAATTTGTTTTTTTGAGCTAGACTTTGTTATGTTTTGAACTATTTTCCATAGATTTTTGGAATTGTTTTTGTTTTTGCTTATCAATTCATTATAATATTTTTTATTTGCTTTTCTGATTATATTTGTTAATTTGTTTTTATATTCTTTATATTGTTTTTCTAGATTTAAGTTATGTGGATTTTTTTGTAAATTACGATACATTAGATTTTTTTGGTTCACCGATCTTAAAATTGCATTTGTAATCCAGGCAGACTTTTTAATTTTTTTTTCTTTTAATAACTTTAACATAAGTGCTTTGTTTTACTGCTTCAGTTACAATTTCTATAAAAGTTTTTGTAGCTACATCAGGATCTGGTTTTGTATATATAGACTCCCAAAGTATGTTACTCATCACCGAAGTTAATTTGTTAAAGTCGACATTTTCAACGTAACTGGATTGTTGACTTGGTTTAGGCACATCTAGTATTATTTGTAAAATGGTCATAAAATGATCGGTAATATTACTTTGGAATATTATAGGTAAAATGAATTCTAGATTAAAGTTATGTTTAATTTTCACTTATATCAAAAATGACAAATTATTTCTAAAGATTTTCAACATGAAAAAAATATTTTGAAAATGATCGATGACACAAGCATGTCCGATATTCGAAAAGGAAATTTCGCACCAAAATCGTTAATGAAACTAAACACTAACATTTTAAAGCAAAATCACTGAAAAAATCTGTTACGAAATTAAGAGAAGATACATTATTTATATTTATAACTCGTATGTTATACATTACTTTATAGTGAATACAATAGAACAATATAAATAAAATATATAAAATAGCAATTTTTACTATAGTCTTTCCGAAATCAGTTGAACAAGTATAAAAACGTCTAGCAATAAAATTTAATGAGTTTCATAGGCGCCCCTAAAAAAGTTTTCTGCTAAAGATAAAAAATTATAATAATTTGTATCTAATGTGTACAAAATTTCTATTATATGTTCATTTGACTAACAACATATTTTAATTACCTATGTCCTCAAGCAATTTTAGTATACTGATGGTAAATTTCGATTTGTTCCGTTTCAAAAGGTCTCCAAAATGCCATGTTGTGATAATATTTATTAGTAAATAAAAAATCCCTCTTATTTCTCCCCTTCACAATTGTAATATTAATTAACAGAAGGTGCATATAATAAATTAAAATTACCTGAATCACACCAAATTTCGCATTGCTGCACTGCACTGCTAGGCCATTTGTTGACAACCGAATTTATGGCCAGGTGAACCAGTACGGCTGTGTTTGTGCCGCGTTTGCCCTCGCGCTCATTCTTCAACTGGGCGATTAGACCTGTATATGGGTATGGCTGAATAAAAATGGGAACAAGTTTCTCAAATATTTGAATGCCGAGTTGCTGTGTCAGCGACCGAACCTGGTACATACTGCCAACCTCTTGGTTCTTCAATTGATATCGGAAAAACTATAACAGAGGTGATCTTTAAATTTCAAAGAATTTCGAGTATAATATCGAAAATTAGATCTAGGTTTAAATTTAGGTGTATAGTAGTATCATCTTATAAAACCAATAACTAGTTTGGTCGGAATTGTGTTTACATTACTGTAATAAAAGTATGGTAAAATTTCTGGAACTTGTAACCTGTTGCCATGGAATGTTCAAGGAAAATTCGTGTACCTAACATTTATGTAATATTAAATAAAACCATTAAAATATATATTTATTATACATAAATTTTTCTTGAACATTCCATGACAACAGGTTACCATGGAAATTCTACCATACTTTTTATTACAGTTTATTATTTATTGTACACTTGGCATCAACTGCGCATGTTTCTGACGGTTTTGTACCTACTGAGCATGCGTGAGAGCACTGTGAATCGTCTGCGCATACCTATTGCCTTTACTAATCCGTTTTCAATGGTAATGTATCGGATTAAGAAAAGTATAAAAAATCCGCACATACGTTTTGGTGGCCTTTTTATTGAGTTTGAATTAATTTTTAAAGCTGTCAACTTTTCACTGGTCGGGTCTGTACCATCTGAAATCAGCAACCAAAAAAGTGTCCAGACTGAAACAAAGACCAAAAGAACACTTAGAAACTCCCAAGGAACCCTCACGATCTTTTCTAACGGTATAAACATCGAGCTGCAAAAAAGTGGTATTTTCAGCTTTGATATCAGGAAAACTGTGGATTTTCGGGACTTCTGTCCATGAGAACTTTTGACGAGGAGGTCAAGGGGAACAATATATTTAAGTTACAGCGAATTTAATCGAGGGCCAATTCACATAAGGTCTGTGTGGGGTCCCTTATAATGACACCCAATTTAACAATACACAATAATTTAATTATTAATAATTTTACGTCACCTACATAACATATGTAGATTAATAATAAAGAAGCGAAATATTAAAGTCAAAATAAATTAA